CTATTAAAGTGATTGTCATAAAAACTGGGTACACCAATGAATAGGAATATTACACTTTGGGCTTTTAAATGTATTTTTATTGTAAAAAGTTTACCTTAAGAATTTTTAAGGGCAAAACAATAATTGCTTTGTCCAAGAGTGTGGGAGAATTCTATTGTCAGTTTGTATTTTATTTTTTTGCAATTGTGTATTGATTTTTTATTAGTAATATTGCAGAAGATTTTATGTTTATTTATTAAAGTTTAATACACCTAGAAAATGTAAATGGCATTTGCCAAACACGGCAGCTATTGGCAATCCCCCAAACATGGGGGAGACATGTTCAGCAGTGGACAGTCAACGGCTGATTGTTGATTTAGCTATTATTATTTTAAATTGGTTTATTTACATCAGTTCCAGAACATTAACCCGATTTCTAATCTCAATGCGGGTAGACGTAATTTATAAGTTACTATATTTTATCTGCAATTTTGTATCCGTAATCGGGTATGTTTACTGATCGAACAAAAATATAGCCTATATCTTTCTATATGCCTTATAGTACGTGTATACCAAATATCAACGTGATTGGTTATTCCATTAAGGCGTTTAGTGGTAACAAACAAACAAACTCACTTTCACATTTATAATACTAAGATTTTAATAATCTAGTACAACTAATCTCATTTTATAAATTACTAAATTCTCGTAAAGTTGTTATATATAATGATTTATTTAAAACCAGATAATAAATTACTTGCAAAATATTTAATTCTTGTATTTTGCCTGTTATGACATATGGATGCCAAACCTGGAGCTTAACTAATCATAACATACATAAGTTAGAAACTTGCCAACACAGTATGGAACGAAGTATACAACATCAAATTAAAAGATAAAGTAAAACTATACTTAAGGAAGAAAACTGAATTCACGGATGTTACTTACTGTATCAAGAAACTAAAATGGAGGTGGGCAGGACATATAGTTAGAATAAATAAAGAAAAATGGTCTAAGGATATTACAGAGTTGTCCGAGACAATATAAAAGAAAAAAAGGGAGACAGCGTCGTAGATGGGAAGACGATATCAAAAAAATAGCGGGACACACCTGGAAAAGACAAGCGCAGAATCGCATTCAATGGCGAACTCTAGGGGAGGCCTATGCTGGACAGCAAGACAATCTTCACGTACCGGTGTCAAACAAATAACTAAATTATTATAACTATATTGTAAGATTGTTAATAAAGGCTATTATTATTATTATTATTATAATAAATTACTTAAATAATTAGATATTTAATACCTTCGTAAATAAGTTTTCTTCATTCATAAACGATACTTGATAATTTGCGTCAAATCAAAGTTACTATTATTAACAGTCTAGTAAATTTCTTAAAATATGAATCGTAACAAAATGGGGTATCCTTGAATATTGTTAGCACAGTATTTTCTTCTTATGTTAAGTCATAAGATGGTTATGAATAAAATATTAAATTATGCTAAAATAAAAACACTTTATATATGTAATATAAACCAAATTTTACATTTACAGAATTTGTAGGGTGATACTCCATCTATATGATGGAGTGTCACCCTATAATTCTGCGCGAAAAACAGAACTACTTTTTTATTATTATATATATATATATATATATATATATATATATATATATATATATATATATATATATATATATATATATATATATATATATATATATATATATATATATATCTCTATTTTTTAGATATCTAAACAAAGAAGATTATATATTTGATATTCCCTCTTCTGAATTTTCCCACAAAAATATCTAATATCTCTAACATCATAAGGTTATGACCGAATAACCTGTAAAGTTCAACCAGAGAACTGGCAAGTAAGACTAGATAGAACTATTTAAAAAAGGAATCGAATTGATGTTCAAAAACAGAACAGAATACCAAGAAGGCCCATTATGAAACACTTGAAATATTACTTCATAAAATTAATTCAATTTTACTCCGGGGACAAATTAACACTTTTCACTGGAACTTTATTTTGTTATATCCATTCACTGTGCTAGATATCTAATATTCATGAAATATCTATAATATTATAGTTTCAAAGAATTAACAGAAGTCTGTATTTAATCTATTCGGTGGTTTTCAAACGATTTCAAGATATCGTATTTAAGGTGATTAAGTAGTAATTTATGATTAGAGAGCAATGGTATGACAGGGTATTAAGGTTTAACAAGATAGACCTCAGGAATGAAAACATTTGTCCATAGTACTATACTATTTATGAGCGACGTTTACTATTTTTCAATAGATGGACCGTCAGCTTGATTTAAAAAGAAACAAGTTAGTAATTCGTATGTATTTTTGTTATGTTTGTGTGTTACGCGATGTGTTTGCCGATTTTGATTATACTTTTTAATGTAAATGGTTTTACTCCCGTTTTGATTATCGATACAAATATCATTAATACGGAAGTCGATATTTTTATAAGATTTCATTCAAATCTATACAGCTACTTAAAAGAGGTACAATATTGATAATATTTTACTGTAATTAAGATCTATATTGTTCGTGTTTTATTCAGAAAAAATGAAAATTATTTAATACAAAATTTGCAAGTTTATCTTTTAGAGATATCTGTTACAACCTTTGAGGAGTTGAAAGGAATTAATGCTACGATGAAGTCAGATCAAAGTTATGAATTCGAGGGAAATTTCAATTGCTCGGACAACAATTTACGAGTTATAAAGTTACGTTGGAGTAGTCTAAACTGGGTGTGATGCATTGAAGGAGTACCATTGTCGACAGGGCTATTGTGTGATCCGTATAAAAGCTTGTAACTTCCGTTACAGGACTCCTTTGCGATATAGTTTCTATTCTTCTTACCAGCATTTACCACGAATTTGCATGTGACCCATTTTTTCTCTGAACTTAACTCACACTAATGTAACTTGTAATCTATGTAAATATTTATTTTAGTTTCTGTTTAGCACTACTACTGCCCACTTACTACTTCCTATGCTACTGTGTTAGGTTGACTGGAAGAAATCTCTTTTAGAGATAAGTTCCCTATTGCTAACATTGTTATTAACTTCTTATAATTACTGTACGTTTAGTGCAATAAAGAATACACACACACACACACACATACACACACACACACACACACACACACACTCACGCACGCACGCACGCACGCACGCACGCACGCACGCACACACGGACGCTCGCACACACGCACGCACGCACGCACGCACGCTCACACGCAAGCACGCACGCGTGCGTCACGCACACACAAACATACATAAATACATACATACATACATACATACATATATACATATATATATATATACAGACGTTACTGTTTCAAGTCCACCACACGGGGAAGGTTCGTGAGTGATACTGTAAACAGTACGTGTGTACAGTACTGGTAAACGCAGTTTAGGACAACCCCCCCTAGAAGGAGTGACGACCTCAGTTGCATTGCATAGAGCAACAGTGGGCAGATAATACTGAGATGATGATGTTTCATGGATAATTATAAACTAAATTTATAATAAAATTGGCTTAAAATTATTAGAAAATTTGTTCATATCAGTATTTACAATAAAGATTTCGCTATGATCGTCATCCTCATATAGTCCTGTCTGTCATTGAAAATAGTTTGCCTTTGCTTTTAGTTGCCACACTTGTCAGGTAACTTAGCAACTGTAGTTAGGCTTTCGTGAAATTTTAAGAGGGACGCTGCTGCCCATATTCCCTTATTTATCTCTTACAAATTACACGAGAAAGGAAAGGTGTGATATAAAACTGAAGTTATAAACATAAGTTTAAAGAAATAATGCCTCAGAATTGACCCCATTGTATGACAAGGATGAATATTAGTCTATGTCCTTCTCTATCTTAAATTGTTTCTTTTTATATAACCTAGAGATATCGGATTTTAAAGGAAATGACAAGGTACACAGGCGGACGTCCCTTGAAGGGATTTTTTTCCAGTCAACCTTGAGCATTTTAAAGAGTAAAATATTATAAGATTATATTAAAACGGCACAAACGAATTGTTTCGCTGTTGTGTAGGTTGCGTGTTAGTTCAAACAGTGTCCTGAAGACAATTGCTGACAAAATGGACTGTCCTATCCTAAAATATTGAGTGGGACAGGTTATCAATGTAAGAGCGTTATGACCGCTCATTTACTAACATAGGTTAAGTCAATTTATAACTAACAAAATGGGCCTTATGTAGTCTAATTAAGTAAATATAATTATTATTAATAAATATAAGTATTTTTATATTTATTAATATAGGTTTTTTTTTCCTACAATATATAGATATTGCTGTATATTATCCATCCCGTTGTATATATTTTATCTTTATTCTCGACTAGATCTACATAGCTGTGCTTACTATTGCGTCTCTGGTAGAATTGTCGATTGAAACAGGCATTGAAATAAATTTTGCAGTTAAAATGTAAAGGTGCCAAGATTTAACAAACACACTATCAAATTGATAATATTGGTAATGATATTACGTTTATAGACCATTGATAGTTATATAACCATAAAGGTTTCTTTTTTCCTATTTTGTTATAGAGAAATATTTGCAAACTTTCAGCAATTATTATAATTTTTATATTTTCGTAAGACATAAGGTTCTAAATTTGTTTTTTTTTATTGAAATGTGATTTTGGTGAATAATATACATATTTTTTTTTATTTTAGTTTTATATTATTTCGTTTTAATTTGGTATTGATCTTGTTAGGACTGGAATAATTTTTGGAGAAAAATTGTCTACAAATAGTTAAAAAAATCAATTATTAAATAAAATGTGTACACGAAAATGTCTATGGTATTTATATTTTCTTTTTTAATTTAATACTATACATTATCTGAAATAAAAATATATGTATGTAAAATTAACATGGAATCAGTTTGTAATTAATAGAATGAAGGCAATTAAAAAAAGAAACAAAATATATTTTTTTATTCTTATTTATTTATAAAACTTATCACAATATTGTACATTTAATATAATTATTACATTAATGATAATAATATTTACGCTAAATTAACAGTCAACAAAAGCACCGATATGTATTTTATGATAAATTATTAACAATAATTATACAATCTATCTTTAATTATACAAAATGTTTTACGACTACATTTATAAATAAATTATAAATGTATAAAAATAAATACACTAAATAGGAATATGTTAAATTAAAATGACTTTGATATTATTTGAATATAATTATTAAAATTATCCGCTTCCTTATAATCTGTTAGAGACAGTTAATTTTATCGTACATACTGCCGTAAACATTATTTTTTACTTATTTATTTAACTACGATAATTTCATATTTACAATAAGTGCTGTTGTGTTTTATCAGTTAATTGTTATTAATTTTAAAATATGAATTATTTCAAATGTATTTTTGTAACAAAAGAGTAAATAAATAATTATAATGTTATTGTTAATATAATATAAATAATTAAAATGTATAAATACGGTCAAAATAATATATAATAAATAAAACTAATAAAAATAATTTGTGTATTTATATTTATCATTCAATTTTATAATTCAATATTAAATATAAAATATAAAATTCTCACAATATTTCATATCACAAATAAAATTATTAATATATGAGTTTTTATATAATGTATTATATAATATATAACGAAAACAATCTACCTGGTTGACTTCCCATCCTATTGTCTTTGTGTTATATAATTAAAACAGTGTTAAAATATAAAGTAAAGATATTTGTGAAGTTCATAAAAAACTAATTAATATAAATGTAATAATAGTATAAATGAACTTGTATAATTAGTAAATTTAAAAAAAATTAAAAGCCCTCAATCTTTAATTTTCTTCCAAATAATATTATGTATATAAAAGGAGATCATTTAAAATAACAAATTAATATAAAAATCAAGTCAGTGCATATAGTGATTTGAGACATAGCAAATAATGATCAAGTGTAATATAATTATTATTATTAGTGTAGTGCGTTACATGAAAGACTAATTTCCTGTTATTTGATCATCTACAACATCAAAAATTTTATAATACGGTTTAATTGTCAATAACACTTCTGGTACATGAAATATTATAATTATTTTAATGTTAATTCTTTTACAGTTATAAAAATATATATGTTATTAATAATGGTTATGTGTGAACTTTTCTTAAATATTTCATATATATTTATATTTCAGAAGTACTTATAAATTTTTAAACATATATATAAACACAGAATAATCTTTTTTCAATATATATAATAAATAAACTTTAGTGCACGAGAAACCTGTTTACAGGAAATATTAATTTAAAATACTATATATTAAATACTTAGTGAATTCTTTTTTAGTCAAACAAAAACAAGTATATATCTTTTTATAATGATATGTATGAAATCACTTATTTTTGATAATTTTAATTAGATATGTATATTTTTTATACTGCGATCACCGAGTGCTTGTCAAACTTGGCAATTACTGGCAAAATCCCTCTTATAGGGGAGGCCAATGTTTAGCAGTGGACAGTTTGTCAACTAAACATATCAACAATAAACTACTAAACGTACAAACATACTAACAATAAAATATATTTGAAAAAGATTATACTGTGTTCATGCTAGGTCACACATAGAATAGCTAGAGCTAAAAATATATAATAAAATAATGAAAAGGGTAAATTACATTGACCACAAATAATGTAATACTTTTGATATTACAATTGAATACATTGTTTCTTTCAACATTTCTGCCATAAATATAATATATAAAATTAACTTTATTTCTACAGTAAAAAATAAATACAGTTACGTTAGTTATGTGTGATATGATTATGGTTATTGGTGATATGTTATAACACTTTTTAATATTGTTTCTATTTTATATTGAGAATTATAATATTAAGTAATCGTTAGTAAGATATGTGTAGTGTGCCCAGAGACAATTAGTGTGTTATATTAAAAATAATTATAATGTATAATTATATATAAATAAATATATAATTATACATTATAATTATAATGTATAAATAATTATTATACAAATTTTAATATTTAATTTTAAATAAACAAAAGACCCGTATACTGTCAATATGTGTAAGAAAAATGTTATAATTTTCATTTTTGTTTGACGCATAATTAGAAGTTCAGTGATTTAAAAATTTTATCTTCTAAAAGTAAATATGGTTGCGTAGAAATCTCTAGCTAGATCTAGGAAGATAGAGAATATGGGTAACTTCATATTGCAAATGGACGGAGACAATTTTTATGGGTAATCTGACTCAGCAGGAAGAGCCACATATTGTTACCCAAGCCCAGAAAATATGGGAACTGTAGTTTCCTTATTAAAAAAAAAGGGTAAATAGATTGCTTGCTTAGCTTTTATTCTGTATCCCATTGGAACTACAACCAGTGTGTTTGCAATGTATTTTTGTTATATGTAATAATATTTCTTATATAGTGTAGTATTTCCAATAGTTATAGTATGGTTATATATTTAAACCTCGTCTAATACAAACATTTGTATTCATGAGTTTTTTTGTTTAACAATAATATGACTATTACTGACTAGATATTTTGTATGTATAGTATGTATGTACTTATTATTATTTATCAAAAAATATAGTGTACTGTCCTATTAAGTCTCGATTTTTTGAGTCGCGTTTAATTATGTGCATATTTTAATAATCCTCCTTGCAACTGCTTTTAACTTGGTATTTACTTGGAGGTCCCATCTTAATCATTATACCTGTTACCTCAGAAATAAATTGTAAATACTTCTAATGTATTACTTAGAAAACAATTAACTAAATGGAATACGGTGCAACACCCTCTTAACCCAGTGACTATTAAATAGCTTGAGTAGAAAGTTATGTTACTTGGTAATGATTGTTGAGAACGGTGCTCGTATCTCGAGAACTCGTTTATTCAGATTGGGTAAGTTAAGTATAACGATTAATTATCTAAATAACTCACTTTATATTTAAATATAATACCCATAATAGATTTAATATATATAGATAAGAACAATAACAAAACATATGTAATAGACATAACAGTACTGTCTGACTGTAATATAATAACTAAGGAACTTAAAAAGTTAAACAAAAACACCTTTTGAAAATTGAAGTCAATCGTTTTTGGAACACACAGACTTTTATCATACCGACTGTACTATTACTTCTCATACTGCGTCTATGCATTACAGGAATATTATATAAAATAATAAAAAATACATAAATAAGCTAAATATCAATATTGATGTCATCATCTTACAAAAATCAGTAGCCATTCACGCAACAGCCACACTCAGCGAAGTACTGGAAGATATTGTACTTGAAAATAAACAAAATAATCACATTCAAAACACGCACCAATGATCAACCACACAACAAGCAACTAACACACAATAGTCAACAAACACAATTCATACATCGAATACATAACCATTCACATATTCGATAAACATTCAACAAAGGAGAAAGGAAATTAGGAGAAGAAGAACATAAAAAAAAACCTATCAATAGGGTAAAAAAAAAGGTACATATGTAATGTAACTTTTTTCCTGTAGGTACAGGACGGGATATATATTAAAGCCAACGTAAGTTGAGAAGGTGAAAACCTTACTCAATAATATAAATATTAAATAAGCTAAATACTAATATTAAAAATAACCAACTTACAAAAACAAGCAGTCATTCTTACATCGATAATACTCAATAAAGTATCAAGTGATACCGTATTCGTACACAATACACATAAACTCATCAGAATCATTCAACATAATTCATACATCATTTGCGTATTCGGTAAACACTCAACAAAGGAGAGAGCAAGGTAGAAGAAGTAAGACATAAAAAAACGATCAGTATGGGACATACGTACCTTTTTTTCCTGTGGATTACAGGACAGAGTATGTTTAAAAATCGACGTAAGTTGGGAAAGTGAAAATCTAACTTGATAATATTATATTATATTTATAAACGCTTTAATTTAGTTTAAAAAACGAAATCATAAAATTTTACTCTCTTTTCTTTTTTAACTTTGTATCAATATGTACATTATTAGCACGTATTTACATTAGTGCAACAATATGTTGTATTGTCCAGAATTATGTTTAATATAAAAATAAGTTTTGTTTATTTTTGTCTTGCAACAAACTTTAATCCCGAATATTTCTGGCAGATATCGGTAATTTATAGATCAATAGAGAAGGACAGAATAAAAGCCAAACTCCCAAAGAATTCCCGGAAAATATATTTTTGTAATTTCACTTCGCGGTACTCGACAAAAGCCCATAAGTTCCTTCAGATACGATTGCCCTTAAATAGTAAAGGAATAATCGCAAAAAGGTGAAAATGCCTTTTTATAAAAATCCCGTCAACGTTAGTTTCTATTCAAATAACCATCTAACTTGGTAGTATAACATTTAAATATTGCTTTACCTTCAATTGTTGCGAGCTATACTCCCGGTCCGTCTGTCTTTATGAGTCTGTTTTTATTGATTTGGGCGTTTTCTAAGAACTAATATTTCTATCAATTATCTACTATCCCAACTACAAATTCTGCTTAGTTGGAATTGAAGAATATTATGATTGTAACATACCCAGTGCTTACTTTGATAAAAGTTATGAAAAACTAATAAACTTAAGTAGGATATATATATAAATATCGATTGAGAAAAAAAGAAAAGACGACTAATCTAGTACCAACAGCAATAAAACAAAGAATAATTTAATAGAAGGAATAAAATTTACGCGAAATAATTCCTTTTTTGTTTGTTCAAATGGGACCATTGATTTTGCTTATACTCTTACTTGGTTAGGCTAATCATATATTAAAAACTACATCTTGATTATTTACGTATACGGTTTTGTAAATTGTAAAAGTAATTATAATTAAATATTCTTAATTGTCTCGGACACAGTTAGACCAGTCGACCTTACTTGTTTATAATTATGATAATGACAATGTAATTAGTGACGTGTCGAGTCAGACTAACACGAGTATTGACTCGAATACCTACTAAGGTACTCGATTACTCAATACATTTAGATACATGGTATTCGAATATAGAATTTGAGTAGATGCGGTACTCGATTACTAGTTCCACATTTATCGTAAGTTTTTTTTTCCGTTTTGTGGATTCATAATTTTTTTCCTTACACTAATAAAATTAAAATTATTAAATGTAATGTAAAATTTCAAAAATTATTATAAATATATCCAAGTCTAATGAAATACTCAAATATTCATACAAGTACTCGAATACTTGCCCGAGTTTACAGACTTAATCAGTCTGAATTCCGCACTTTTTTAATGATTACTAAAATACTCGAACGCCGAAAGGCCGACTCGACACATGACTAAATGTAATACATTAGATATAGTTACATTAACATTAGCCCTGTACAGTTATGTACACTCTCACTAATGGTCCGTTTATACAAAGATCCTTGGACGGCATTCCAGCATTAGGATCTTTAAGAGTATCCGCTTTAAGGGACATTGGATAAGCAAGAATATAAATTTTGGCGAACGTTTACAAAGTAATTATTGCGATTTTGGAAACTCTTTGGATTTTTCTGTTCAAATTATTTTGAAGAAATAGTTGTCATCTTTGATATCGTTTCAAAATTACTACAAATTTTAGAGATAAAGATGAAAATATTTAAGGTACCCTCTTAAGGTCAAACTATTATACTTTTTAAAATTGGTGAATTTTAAAAATAAAATAATAATAAACAAAGCCGTTATTCTACAGCTATTAGATTAGTATAGAGTAATTTTAAACTAATACTTTGCAGTAAAAATTGTACTGCTAGTGCATAATTTAGGTGCCTCTCTAAAACACTGCAGAAATAAAAAAAAATCATTATAGAATATATGAACGTAGGACAATATAGACAAAATCATTTTCTAATTTTACAAGGTTATTTACAAAAAAGAAATAATCTAACAGTGTGTTGATATAAAAATTTAGAATTAAACTGCGCAACATTTCTTAACAAAATTAACTACAAAGTTAATTTTGTTAAGAAATTTTAATTCTGAACTACTTACAACAATTAGTTAAAAGGCAATACCCATTTAAAAGTAACATAAAACAACTATGTTGTGTTTAAATTTCTGACAAAAATTACCATTATACAATTTACTATGATATAGCTCATTCAGATTTGTTTTACGGTTCAAATTAGCATGTTTAATAATTCTTAGTTCCTCTTTAAAGATTTGAATCAGTGTCATTGTAGAATTTACATATTTTCAATTGCGATAAACTTTACAAATAATACAATGTTGCAAGTAAAAAACTGTAATGTTATCAGATGATTCAGTTGCCCGCCGTTTCTTATATCTGATATAATTCTAGCACGCATCAAATTTACTCCTGCAATGTCCGTGTTATCAGGCGAATTAGACCCACCATTTACAACATCAGATATATTTCCAGTATGTGTCAAGTTTATTCCTGCAATATCCAATGGTCTCTCCACTGCAATATCCAGGGTATCCAGTGGACTCTTGTCTAAATGTGTCATCTAACTAGGTCACCTTATATCACCGTATTCCGTCCCGAATACAACGAGTATGGCTGCTAACAGTAAACTGATGTAACTCGTGGTTGTCTTGACACCACTTTGAAGTTCCGCTAAGCTGGATCCTGTGGAAGAAAAACTAATTAAAATCCAGTTAGATACATCTACAACATCTGTTACTAATAACCTTCCCTTGATCCTGGCAGAATTGAAATTTGAAATTCGATTGTATTTTTTCTTTCGATCTCAAATAATGAAGTTTCTTAAGACATAATTATAGCAAATAGTTATAATTTAAGAAACATTATATATATATATATATATATATATATATATATATATATAGTAGTGAAATATAATATAATAAAATTATAAACTATATAAATAAACTACTATCAACCATAAGGCAAATGATTACTATATTTAAATCACTTTTATTTAGTGAATTTATTTCACCGTTATAGCACTAGTGCCAAATCACAACAAGTGACTTGTGAATGTCGCAATCACTATTAGCTATTGAAAATGAAGTATGAATAAACACTTTAACACAGTGTGAAAAAGTCTTTATTCGCTCGTCTAATGCGATTTAATTTTATAACTAACTGTACATAGCTAACGACTCACGAATAAATTCGTACGTAGCAACTATCTGCGATTTCATTTAGTGTTTCACACTTTTTGTACTGAGGTAGCTGTTGTGATGTGTGATTTAGCGTAATGTATGATATTTAATTTGTGACGTCTGAAATATTCCAAGCCTGCTGTAAAGAGGAACAACAGCATAATCATCATAGCTACATTACCCGTGCTCTCATTATGCATTGTCATTCCATCTGGATTAAAGGATAAGAGAGGATATATACCTCGGGTCAGCAACTGCATTTGTCTTCCATTTCTGTAAGAACAGAAATGGAACAGGTATGCAATTATTGCAACTGCATTTCCGCTTCTCATTGTTTGTGTTTATGTTGTACTTCGAAAAAAAAAAATAGACAAAATAGTGACTATATTTTGTTCATTTATATTAAATATTAATAGCTAAATCCCGCGGCTCCATTTCACTTGAGTGAATCAGTATGTAAAGTATCGTAAGTGCTAAGTTTGGATATAATAAAATACATTTTATTTTCTATAGAAATTTAAATACTTGTATACAAAATCCTAAAACTTATTTATTTATACTATATTGTACACAAAAAAATACAAACATATAATTTATATTAAATAAAGATTTACAACAGGCGAGCTTAACTCTGTAAGAGTTCTTCTCTAGTAAATCCTGAGTGGAAAGGATTTAATGACTTCTGTAATTAATTTATTATACAGTACGAATATAAACACTATTTTGATATAGATATTTTTGTACATTCTTAAGGAAGTATCAAAACTTAATTTTGTCACATAATTTGGTTTCAATTCTTTTAAAGAAGGCATTAAATTATATGTTAACTAAGTGTAAGTATTGATAAATATGTATTAAGTAGTATTATGTAGTAAATATGTATTTTTTTTTGGAAAATTTAGAATCTTATTACTTGCAACACTGAAACGAAAAGTACGTTTTTTTTTAATTTATAAAAAAGAAAACATATGTCAATGTATGTTGATGTTTAGCTAACTAAAATTTGACACGTTTTTTATACTTAATACTCTATCTTATATAGATACCTAATTATACTACCTAATATTTCTGAGGAAAATACAAACAGAAAAAATAATTATAAAAAACGAAACAATGTTACCACGGTTTTCAGGTTGTGTAAGTAACCTGAGATGACAATAAGAAATTTTACCTTACACGAGAAAAAGAATCTATTTACCAAAAAAAAAACCTATTGCAAATCTTTTTTACTCTCTCGAACGTCAACATTCGACTCGTGTTTTGTATCAATCGACGTCTTGTCACTTATATTCTGAAATGTAGGTGTTTTTATTTGTTATTATATTCAATAATGCTGTCAATAAATAGAACAGTAGGAACTCGATTTGCGAGCTTATTTTATAAATCCACAATGGACAGAGGAAATTGGAACGTAAATATTGTACTACAGTAGACATGACAAATCATTGTTATTATTTATACAGGTGAAATCTTTAGCATAAAGGTTTTCATTCTGTTTATCCGAAAGCGATAGGTGAAGGTCTCTGCCCGTACAGTTCATGTTTACCGTAAGGATTATTTCAAATTTCACTGACAGACAGAGAGGGTAAGAGAGGGAGTTACAGAGTGAGAGAAAGAGAGAATGATATAAAGACAGATACAGAGAGATAGTGTTCCATCAATGAAACAGAATATTTCCTTTAAGAAAATGTGTTTTCGACAATAAATTGAGCTTTCCATACAAAATAGTTGTACGTGCCGTATCATTAAAGAACGCTTAACTTTTTTTTCTAGTTTTTTAACCTATGTTTCTTTAGGATGAATATCCAATTTTACTAGAAGACTATTTTCTTAGAAGAATGTTAATGATTTCGGTATTATAGAAAACGGATATGGCAATAAAATTACAGGGTACAAAGGCATAATACCTTAGTCCTTAGGAATGGCAACGCATGAATGGTATCATGGGCAATACAATTAACTCAGTTATGTTTATAGTTCTGTTGATGTCTATAGACGACGTTTAACATTTTCAATTAATTGGGCCGTCAGCTTGTTTGACATTCTAAGTTGTATAAAAGAACAAACCAAAAAAAATTAATGAGATTCAATACTTTTAGTACAATCCAACGGTTTAGTGGGGTTCATAGTTAACACCTACATATCATCATCTTCTTACCCTTATCCCAATTATTATTTGGAATCGGCGTAATATATTTTCCTCTTCCATTCTTTTCTATTCCCAGTCATTTCCGCATTCACTCCCATTCTGGCCATATCGTCTTTCACACAAGCCATCCATGTCTTTTTAGGTCTTTCTCTGCTCTTATAGCCATCTACATTTATACTTAATACTTTTTTTAAAATATGCTCCTCATTCCTGCGCACCACGTGTCCATACCAGGATAAACGGTTACTTCTTAACTTTTCTATCACTGGCGCTTCTTTCATACTTCCTCTGATATAATCATTCTTAATTTTGTCCATTCTTGTCACTCCGCACATCCATCTCAACATCCGCATCTCAGCTACATGCAATCGCTTTTCGTCCGTCACCTTTACTGACCAACACTCCGATCCGTACAAACTAGCAGGCCGAATTATGCTCTTGTAAATTTTCCCCTTTAATTTAAGAGGAATTCGCGAGTCACAGGCGGTTGCCATAATCTGCTACCACTTCATCCATCCTAAGTTAATTCGGTGTTTTACTGTTCGGTCTAATTCTCCATCGCTTTGTAGTAGTGAACCTAAGTATCGAAAATCGGACGGATATATAGTTAACACCTACATATATAGATCTGTTATAAAAAGATATTAAATAACTAAATAGTTACCTAAACATACAGGAACCCAAACAGTCTATGGTTATAATAATAGTAGGTAAGTTGACTGGTCTGTAGCTGCAATGAACAACTATAGCTAGTCTGTAATTGCTATGTTATGGGAGCTTCCATTGAAGTTTCCATTGCATGCAACTAATCTCAGACTTGATTTAACTTTAACAAGAAGATAACGAACGCATATGTATATTAACCTGTTTTCTAAGAGTACGACTTCTTAGTACGAAGGTATAATACATTAGTCTTCGGGAATGAGAACGCATGAGAGGTACCATGGGTTTCACAGTATATTTGTCTATGGTATTGTTTATGTTAACAGGCAACGGTTACTACTTTCCGCAGTGGACTATTATAGCTTTTCAGGAAAAGCTATAATAGTCCACCTACGGGAAAGGAAGGGGTGGCCCTATTCCATACCGGGACTTATTATTGGCTATTCTAAGTTGCATAATCTTTTATTGTATATATATACAGTAGAAGATTAAACAAAATTTCTGAATATATTTTACAGAGTACCACCTAACCAGAGGTAAACATTTTCAGCAACGGTATCATATATTTTGAAGTTAATATTTCATTAATCAAAATTTAGGGGCAGCTTCAGTTTACGCATCGCATGTAACGTGCGTGATAATCCAATGTATTTTACACACGCCCATTTCACGTTGAATGACTATATTAAAAACACATACTATGTTAATATAACATGTATTACGTAACAGCCAGAAATACATTTATTCATATAAATGACATACTTAACCTAACTAGTGATCATATATTATAATAAATAAATTTAGTTAACATTCAGTAAGCCTATAGACAAATAATATTAAATACAAACAATATTAATCAATTCTCAATTTCACCACAGACTTTACCAATAAACAAAAGAGTATATATGCGTGTGTGTATTTATCAAAAACATGGAAGAGTGTGTAATGTATTTTTTTATTGATTTAATGTATTTTTTATACATAATTTTAAAAACATATTAACATTTTGCACTCCTTCTCTATATAAACTATCTTGAAAAAGAGTACAAAGATTTAGCTTCGCGTATTAATATGTAGATTAATACAAGAGATGCCTTTATGTCTGCTTCGAATACCTTTGATTTATTTATGGGTGAAAATGAAATATTAGCCTCATCTATATTGGTGGAGTATCAGTTAGTGATGTCAGTTGAGAACTAAAGTAGGGGAGTTAGCCCAATGTAATAAATGCGAGAGTAAACCACAATGGTTTTCAGGGTGAACCGCATGGAATTCCATTTGATAAGGTAATTTGTTAACAATGGTAGAGAAAGCTAAAAGCTTTCTCTACCAGACTTTAAGTCCGCCTTGTACACAATTTCGTATTGAATGAATAAATAAAACGCACCTTCCACCATTTTTATTTTATATAACAATGAACATTATCTTTATTAATATCATATTATAAATATGAAGATGAATTTATTTGTCTTTTTTCTCTTAGCGTTTTAATGGCTGAGCCAATTAATATGTGATTTGGCAAACACATAGTTTTTAATCCATTTATTTTATATATAAATCACGAGGATGACGTTAGAAAAATTAATATTTTTATTAACTTAACTAGCATTTTACCCGTTACTTTTTACATGTGAATTTTAGAAGCACTCGTAGGTGACAAAAATCTAAAAAAGTATATTACGTTGGTGTGGCCCTTTCGAGAGGATGGATGAAAGAAGAATTACGAAAGAGATTTATCGAGCAAGAATGAACGGAGAAGCCGGTAGAGGTCGCCCTAAACGGACATATTTTTACCAAATAGGCGATGCTGAAGAAGGACCAAATTAAAAGTACTCGTAACCGGCGAGCGTGTATGAAAAGATTGATGAACGTGGAAGAAGCGAAAGAGGTTATTTTTCCATTATTTCTTCCTACCCTAATTTGACACAGTTGTAACAGATATGTATAAATGTTTTAGATGTTGTATTAAGATTAAACATGTACCAGACATTAAATTTGATCTTGAAGAACATAACTAAGAAAACCGCATTCAATTAGGTACAGTATATTTTGCGTGATACTAGAACAAGCATAGAGACGGACGGGCATAATTTCTAAAAATTATGGATTTGGTTTTGATTGCTCCCAAAAATTTATATACCTCATATTATTCTTAAATATTCTCCATGTACAGGTAGTGCTTAGTTACAATTTTTATTATTTATTTATTTATTTAGAGATTGCTTAGCAATAAAACCGCCTTTTGTACTACACTATACGTATTGAAAATTGTTCAACAAATCCTGTTATGTCGGTGCAATAAAGTGTTAAATAAATATTTTAGTATAATATATTTAATTAAGAAGCTGATCTTAAGTGTGCAGTTATTTTGAACCTGTTTCATGAGTCATGGTTTTGATATAACTGATGAAATGTAAAATCAACTGTAAAAATTTAATATTTTCTTAATATTTATTTATGTACATATATTAAAATATACTAACCTTGCAAAACATGCACTCTTGCTACTGCTTTCATACGCAACGGTGCTTCCAGGGCGCATGTGTAGTTACCAGCGTCCTCCACTTTCAGTCGCGATACCTGCCATAAAAAATGTATTTAACTCATAATCAAATAAATAATTACATTTTTTTATTAAAATAAATTTATTTCTTAGCATTTTTGAATAATCATTTTTGTAGGATTCTATCTAATTTAGGAATTTCAGCTGAGAAGAAAATGCAAGTAACTCAGCTGTTTAAGTATCAAAATTTATTCTCAATAATTTATTTGTTAATAATTCATTTGTTACAAAAAAATGTGATAAATGAAGAACCGCTCGACCGATTTTGTGCAAACTTCACATAAACCATCTACTAAATAGTCCGAACAAAGCCTAAACATTTGGATAGGCGAGACCGTTCTTGAGTTATAAAATTACAATGAAAGTGGCTTTATTTTTTATATAATAAATATTTTTAACTAGCAACTATAGATAACTCTGTATGGGCTTTATTTTCAACCATAATAGCAATTATACAAACTTTTATGTTACCAATTAATATAACCTCCGATTTCTATAGAGATACAGTACAATAGAAATATAAAGTTGGGTTCTCAGAGCGTTCATTTTCATACATTGAAACGTGCCCCAATTATTAAGTTACGCTATTGGTTGTACAAGTACAATAGTTTCAGTTACAATAGAGTCTGCATAGCCATTCTGATCATTATAATAGTGTCCCTGTAGTGCAATTTATTATTTTTTCCAAAAAAATGTAGATTGGAAGGTATGAAAAAATGTAGAACCTCTCTATGGTACTCACCATAGATTATTTATTTTTAACCGAATTCAGAAAGAAGGAGGTCCTTAATTTGGGAATTAACGTTTTTGTTTCTTTTAAATTTTTGTTTCTTGTAAAAAATATGTATTTATTTGTCTACATCTTGCCTCCTTCAAAATAGGGGACTATTATATGTTATGTACTTGTGCAAGCCCTTCTTCTAATTCTTGCAACAGTTTTCAAACCCGATCTTTGGGATAGCCTGTACTTTCTTCAGTAATGCGTTTATAATGTCATCTATACCTGTAAAAGGCCGGCCTTTTAAAGTTCAGGGTCCATGTCTGTCGAATATGGAGGCTGGGGCATCGTTACAGTATTGTTAGTATATGCCTAAAAAATCACGAACAAGCAATTAAGTATGAACACGTGCAATTCATAGCTTTTGCACCAGAATAATGCATCGCGATGCAAAGCCATGAATTGTTTTTCCACAAATCTAGACGTTTCTTTCAAAACGCTTTACGCAAAAGGGCATTTAACTTGTAGATGATACTCTATATTGATAGTTAGTCTCGTGGCAATAATGAATAATGCACTATGACATTAAAATTGATGATCGCAGTGAGCCTTCACGTCCGGCCACAATTCTCAAGCCGAAATTCGGTATGAACGAATAAGAATTCCTCCACTAGGATGATTGAGCCTTAGTTTTGACGACATATCCGTATGTTGCGTCACATGTTATAACATGTTTGAGTAATTCTGCCTCGTCGTTAACTTCATTTGAATGACTCCAGAGCAACTTCCATTCGCCGCTGTTTTTGTTCAAAATTCCACAGTTTTGGAACTAATTACGCTGTCACGCGTTTCATGTCTAAAACATTTAAAAATATTTCATGGCATGAACCAATCGATATATCAATATTATCAGTGACTTCCTAGATTTTGATTTGGTGATTATTCATAACCATTTCTTTAACTTTTTCCTCTTTTTCATCAGTTGTCGATGAACGCTCCAGATATCTGGGATATCTGTTTATCATCTTCAACGTTTGATAGCCGTGATATCTTGGATTATTATATTTTTACATTTTATTTTATTTTTTATACAGAACTTAATACAAATTCTTTGATGCATTTCTTTTGACAAACAAAACTCGCCGAATTCATAAAAAAAAACATGTAGCATTTGTCATAGACAAAGTGAACAATGAATCCATAATATAACAGAAAAACCATTGAAATAATACACATCGATGGTTTTTCTATTTCTGAAATCCACACATACGAAGTAGTCGATAAAAAGCTAATTACTAATATATAGCAAAAAGTGTGAGTGTCGACATATTTAATCGTTAAACGTGCTACATAAGAATGTTGACTACTATTTCTTTAAAAAAAAAATCAGTTACAGTAGTAGTATAACTCTTCTTTTCTTAATTTGTCCGCCTATATTGTGGTAGAATAAGATTGGACTTATAATTTTCTTCCGATGTAACATCTATAAAATGTGCCTTTAGTAAATAAATTACTTCAATTCTATTTAAAATAATGCTGTTTATTTCTATTTCAACATGTATATATTTTGTATTACATCATATAACTGGTGTCAAGGACATACATAAAATTTTTTATTCATAAATTGTGTTAAAAAATATGTTTAAAATCAAAAAGTAATAAGTGTATAAAAAATATTCTAAATTTTGTAATTTTATATGCATCAGTAGACGAGTCAAATTCGCGAATTGTGCAAATTTTTAGATTATACGCTTAAATGTACTTTAATTAGAAATGTAAAGAAACTCCATTTATATAAATTTGTTCGCAATTAGTACTTTTTAATTGCCATTTTTTATTATTTCAACTGCGTTCGAATTTTTGTCATCCGGTGAAAAAAAAACCTTAAAGATATTCAAAATTTAATGTTTTAAAATACAACGTAATTTAAAAATTTAAATCGTAATTTAGTACGATGACTATTGCTAACAAATTATTGTCAAATGATTTGTTTACTAGTATATTAGTGCAATTTGATATAATTAATATATTCTGATAATTATGTGAAAAAAAAAACTTAAAACATTGAATACATTTAGAGGCACGCTTAGAGGTTAAAAATTTCTTTCTTTGAGGTAAAGCATTTTAATAATGAGACTTTAATTTTAATATTAAAAATAACAAAAGAATTACAGCATATACGTGTGTCTAGTTAATGTAAATGTATCTACGAAATATCTCATCATTCATTAGAATGTGATTTCACGACTGAAGTTGCATTTTAGCAGAGTAAAATGTCGTGTTTATTTGCCATATTATTAGTATAAAAAATATTAATAGAAAAAAATTTTAGCTAAGAAGAACGGGCAAGTAACTCTGACGCTTGTGTATATGTATAATGACGAAATATATATATATATATATATATATATATATATATATATATATATATATATATTTAGATTTATTATAGAAGATTTTATTCATTATTTTTATTTCGAAATGTTTATTCTCCCAACTCATTATCGTTAACATTATTCATAACTATTTTTATTAAATTTGAAATATCTCTGCGCAATTTTAATTTAAATTCTAATGAATAGAATAAATGAATAATTTACATTCGTAAATGGGAATTCAAGTCGCGTCTGTCGATCTCAGAACACCCGGATCAATCGTTTTCAATACTGTCAATGTATATGTATCTACAATACGTCTACAATTTAATATTTCTTCTCTTTAACCGTTTACTGTCCACTGCTGAACATAATCCTTCCCCATAAGGGGGGTTTCGCTAGTAGATGCCACGCTTGGCAGGCGGGTTGGTAACCGCAGTTAGACTTTTAGAGATGTTTTAAGAGGGACGCTGCTGTCTACCTTCGACAGTTAAGTTTAATATTGCGAGTATATATTGGAAAATGTACCGGCCTCATAGCACGAAGGTCTGATAATTGTTGAGTATGAAAAGTTGTAAAGTGACAACTGGATATAAGCAAATCCACTACACAAAATGGATAGACATTCTTAAATGTGTTATAGAGAGTCAGTGCTTAACAGTGGACAATTACCGGCTGGAATGATGGTGACCATTAGCATATATATATATATATATATATATATATATATATATATAGATAGATAGATAAATAAATAGATACTCTATATAGTTTCCTCCAAAAGATTACAATAGTAAACTTATTATAGATACTTACAAGAAATAATTACGTAATAAATATAGAAATATAGACAGATTGTATATAAATTTTGACTGTAATATTTAATCAACAGTTAGTAACCCTTCTTAATAAAAAAAAAAATATCAAAATCGGTGAAGAATTAACGAAAATATTGTATATATAATATGCACATACAGAAATGGATTGAATTTGAGAACATGGTCCTTTTCAAAATTTATTGGAAGAAACAAAAAACAGTCAAATGTCCTTAAAGGTTTCTTTTTTCAAATCGGTTGTGAAAACTTTTGTAACCGATTTGGAAAATATTTAGATAATATCTAGTACTAATATTTTTAATTCAATTAGAGCAATTTACGAAATACTAGTTTGTTTAATTCGGATTATTATATATAGGTAGGAGTTTATTATTACTCCCTCGGGCTAAAGCGAAATGAGATTTTTAAGACTCTTTAAAAAAAACTTTTCATTTCCTTTAATTTTATATATTTATTACATTTTACTGCTTGTTTGTGACAACATGAAATTAATTTTCTTATTAAAATGTAATGGAAAAAGGCAATCAAAGGAAATGTTTTTTAGTGTTATGGTAGATTTTTTTATTAGTTATGGAAACGGTGAAATAATTTTGTTTTTGAAATTATATCGAAACTAGCTTTTACCTACCGCTCGACTCGCGTGGTGATGATGATAAAAAAGTAGCATATTTTCTTTCTCGCCTCCGTATACGTATATGAAATTTCACAGTAATTGGCGAAACCGATAAAGCGCTAAGATATAAAAACAAAGGAATAAAGAAACACACTTTCACATCGAATATTATTAAGGCGAGGAAGACAATAAATTGTAGTATTGTGCCGTGAAATCCGGCATAGAATAGGCCATACCTTCATTTCCCGTGAGTGTTGTAAGAAGTAACTAAAAGAATTTAATGTATGAGGGATGGGCAGCAGTGTCCCTTGTAAAACATCACCAAAGCCTAAAGCCGCCTGCCAAGCATGGCAACTACTGGAAAACACCCCCTAATACGGAGAGAACTATGTTTAGTGGTGGACAGTTAATTTGCCCGCTTTCATCCTCAGCTATCATCCCTCATTGGTGCCCCGTCAGTGTATACTGATGACAC